ACTTTCTCGTATAATCCTGTTGATCAAGTCTGCGCTCCTCCGTACGACGTCGCTTTGTCACCTGAAAACACAAACGTGAGCTAGCCGGCGGGTGTGTGCCGGAAACCTCTCTGATGCCTAAGTCGGTAAGCTTGACAAATAGACAGCTCGCATACACGCTCAGGTTCAAAGACTCCATGTATTACATTGATGATGCCTTGTGGTGGGGCGTCGATCGGCATCCCATTGGGGTTATTATGATCCTGGGGGGCTGGCTGTGTACCTCCTTCAATATATTTGTCCAAGTGGCCTGCTGCCACCAGTTCTTCCAAGTGTTGTCTTAGTGGCGTGCAATTCTCAGTTCGGTGCCCCTTTTCTTTGTGGAAGGTGCACCGTGATCTGTCGTCATAGTCTTTCTGAGCTTCTCCTAGTTTGGCTGGCCACTTGACGAAAGGCTCATCTCTTATTTCGCTAAGAATCCGATATATCGGTTTCTTAAACACCGTGGTTATGGCAGTTCGGATTCTCAACCATCTTTTATCCGGGTCTTCTCCGTTATCTCGTCTGCCACGTCTGTTTTTGCTCTGGCGATCTACAGCATTGACCTTTGCTGAGGTCTTCTTTTCTGGTACTGCGGTCGTACTTGATTTTGTTTTGGCTCGTGCGCCATCCTCTTCTACCCTGATGTGCTGATGTACTCTCTCCATCAGGGCTTCCATAGTGAGGGGTGGCGTCATGGTGATCGAGTCCCTTAGTCTGTTCCCGACTGGAAGGCCTCTCTTATACTGCGCAATGGCAAGATTGGTGGGGCAGTCTCCAATCTGATTGAATGTCTCCCAGTAGCGACTGTTGTAAGATCTGAGGGTCTCTTTTTCACCCATGTCGATGGAGAGAAGCTGGTCGATCTCCACCGGGGTTTTAGTGTTTTTTCGGAACCTTGTTACGAATGCTTCTGCCAATTGCGCCCAAGAAGCTATGCTGCCCTCAGGGAGTTTTTCGAACCAAGTCAGGCCGAGGTCTCCAAGGCTTGACGGGAAGAGTATGCACATCAAGGCTTCGTTTCGCCTGTATACAGCCATGACTTGGCGAAAGTGGCTCAAATGTGAGTATGGGTCTGTCTTCCCTTCATATGTGGTGAATTTCGGCTGAAGGAAGCCTGATGGTAGGGCCCGTTTTCGATTGCTGGAACAAACGGTGAAGTCTGCAGTCTTGCTAATGCCTTGTCCGTTGGTTCATAGGCAGGGCGCGGTATTGGCATTCCAACCTCGACGCTTCCATGCGTCCGAGGAGCCAACCGCTGTAAGGCTGAAACCCTATGTGGATCCCTTGCCCTGGCATCCTCCTTGCATCGTGCTTTCTCTTCGAGCACGGTTCGTAGGTCGGATGATCTGGGTAATTCTGTCTATCTAGATCTGGTTTGGTGCGAGTGCGAGGGCCAATACGTGCTCCCTTCAGTGTATGATCTCTCAGATCTCGTCCTCTCAGACCTGGAGTGACAAGTTCTGGAAGAAAAGGATTGAGTGTCGCCTGTCCTGAGGCTTCTGCTTTCTCCTTGTGAGGGTGTAGTATTCTTACTACGATTTTCTAAGTGGCGAGGGGGCGTCTTGTTTTTGCGCCCCTCTCCTGTCGCCACTTCTTTTTTCTTCATCTGGCGTTTCAAGGCCTCCATGTCCGCCGCCATCTTTCTTATCAATTCATCTTGCTCTTTCACACGATCTTCCAGGGCTTGAGGGTCAATCCTTCGTCTTTGCCGGTCGGGACTCTGAGAGTGACGAGGACTGTTATTCCGCCTTCCCCTGCCACCCCTCCTGGAGTTATGTTGTTGGGGCTCCAAATCCGCCATAGGAGGGACAGAGGGTAATCCTTCACGCCTTGCGCCCCCATATGGAGTTAGCCCGTCGACGGCGGACTGCGGTAGTTCTTTAATGTGTGCCATTGATTGAGAAAAGGAGAAGCTTAGTCAAGAGGTTTTTGTTCTTGTCTGTTTTTCCCAGACGGCGCCAATTGTACGGGGAAGTAAATAATTCTCCTCGTATTAATCCTGTTACTATGTCCTCGCGTCCTCCGTACGACGTTCAGCTTTGTCACCTGAAAACACAAACGTTGAGCTAGCCGGCGGGTGTGGCCGGAAACCTCTCCGATGCCTAAGTCAGAAAACTTGACAAAATAGACAAAGCTCAATGTATTCAAGAAGCAAATTTAAGTTGTTGCTGTTACCCCCTCTTCCAAGGTAATGCTTAGTGAGTTTTTATTAGGTTTCGAGTGGCGCCAATCTCTAAGTAGGACTTTTATTTTCTCTATGCAGAGTCCTCCTAGGATCATACTCACTAAAGGATACTGCTGTATCCTTTTACACCCGCCCACTGCTTAAACCAAGTGGGATGGTTTTCATCATGGCCGAACTTCCATACAACCGAGATAAACCTGGATATGCCGAGCCACAGATTAAGCCGGACTATCATTGGTTCGGTTCTCCCTTCACTCTTCCTTACCTCGGTTCTCTCCTGTTCAACCCATAGTACGTTCAGACCGAACCCACGATTCTGGACCGGTATAACTCCAAACTGTTTCCGGACCGAAGTACTTTACAACTCCTAAGCCGAAGTAACTTCTTCTTCTTTCGACCGGAGTAACTTTGTCCCTATTGGGCCGAAGTAACATTACAGCCTCTTTTACACAGTCCTTCGTACTTTGGGCCACAAAATTCATCTTATAGCTCGGCCCAATTTTCACAAAAAATTACTCTCTCACATTACATGATTATCATCCAAACACATAATAAAAATTAATTTGGTAATAAATAAATAAATAAATAAATATGTAAAAAATTTATCAATTTTACATAATTTTATATTTGGTGGGTAGAAATCATTTTTAAAATTCAAAAATATTTTTTTGACAATTTTTTTTGCCAAATTAGTTTATATTTTATCAAATTGAGGAATTTGAGCTTGAAATTGAGTAATTGTATTTTCAATTGTCTTTATTTGAAATAAAATTTAAAATTTAAGGTCAAATATGCTACAATTGAAAAGTTAAGGACCAAAGTGACATAAGTCTCAAACTATAGGGACCGTTAATGTAATTTGCCTTTTTTTTTTTTTTTTTGGTCTTCCATTACCACTAGATCTTCATCTTATTTTGCTTCTATTTTGGCGAGGGCATCTGTACATCTAGTTGTTTCATGGAACACATGTTTGAGGGTGCATCTTGTGCGACCAAGCAAGAATTTTGAGTCTTCCATGAGTGCTTTGAAGGTGCACGTCTGTGGATTTTCATTTTGAATTAGCTCTATAATTTCAATACAGTCCACTTCAATCGCCATGTCTTTCCAATTCTTCTCAAAGATGATTGTGAGGCCTTCGTAGATGGTCCAAACTTCTACTTCCAGGCCTTGGTATATAATTTTTTTGATCATCAAAACTTTTAACCATTCGGGCTAGACAATGTAACGTCAAAAACTCTTGAGTTTATATCTTATCTCTTGAATTATGTGAGTGCTTAAAGTAATTTTTCTTCTTATTGAATCCCTTTATTAATAAATCAAGAATTGCTTTCAAGTTAGGTTTCATACAAACGCAAATCCTCTGCAAAATCTCATTACTTTATATGGAGCTTGAGCTTCTACTGAGTCGGCATTAACTAGGTCTTTTGAACATGATTACTATGACATCCCTTTATAATCTTGAATGATAATGCTCATGCAAAGATAGACTTGTCAAAGTTGATTTTAAACCAACTACTACAGAGTGACATCGATGAACAATTATCGTGCTAGTTCACTAAAGTATCAACTTTTTGATCAATATTAGTAAATTCTTGAACATGTAAATTTTGCAACATCTCTTTGCTCATGCTTCTTGTCTCTAAAAATCCATGAATTTTAAAAAGGCCACACTTAATCCCTAGAGATTCTAAATCGAGTAAATCCAAATTATTTGTATGTTTTTTTTAAATAATATTTTTTTTGTTGTTACTTAAAATTGCGTCCACATACATGCATATTATATACATGTATGTATGTAACGGGCATACATTTTTTTTTTTTGGTTTGACATACATCCAAGGTTTTTAAGCGTGGAAAATATCATTGCCACGCATGAAGCGTCCGGATCTGAGGAAGACAGAGAGAGCAGCTAAAGATCTCCTCTTTTTCTCTCTCTCTAGACTATCTCCACCCAACCAAAATCTGCTACTTCTGCTAGGAGAGAAAAAAAGAAGAGAAAAATACAAAGCTCAAATTTGAAGTCGCAACTCAAAACCTAAAATCACTCGCACCAATTCGCAACAAATACGAAGGAAAAATCTTCTAGACATAATTCGCAGGCAAGTAAAACAGATATATATATATATATATATTTGTTTTCTTTCTATTTTTTGATATGATGGTTTTATGGTGAAATTTCGTACTCGGTTCTGTTTGGTTGTTGTGGAAAATGCTAGAAACGAAAATAAATCGTTTTATTGTTGTAGTTTTCAGACAGACTAAACTGATCCATTTTAAACCGTTTTGGATTAGCGTAATTTTTTTTTTTAGAAATAGTAGTAGTAGTGGTAGTAGTGTGTGTGTGTGTTTTTTTTTTTTTTTTTTTTGTATTTTCTCAGCAACCAAACAGAGGTTATAGAAATTCAATTCATGATTTTCTAAGTTTATCGACAAATTTCTTCAATAAACCTGGTGAATATTCGTTTTTGTGTTATTTGAATAGTTGCCAAATAACGATTCCTTTGTTGAGTTTTGTCGTTTTGATTAATCAAAGCACTAACAAGGCTTATTTACTCTTATTTCAAATGATTTTCGATTGAAGTAACTAGAAATTTTAGTTTACCAAAAAAAGTTGCTTATATATCTACAGAGAATTTGGGCTTAGCTTATAGTTTGTTTGTTTGTTTTTTAATTCCTGAATTGGATAGTTTTTTCCCAATCTTTTTATTTTTTAGTTTGCTTAAGTGAATATTGATGATATTTTATTTTGCATCTTTGATTATGTTTCAGTGACTTTGCAGAGCCGGCAATTATTGAGTTCATACTGCTTGCGAGTGATAGATGCAATTTGTAATTTTCTAGGCGGATGAACTTGGAAGCTTCTCCGTTATTGATTGATTAAAAGATCTGGGTTGGTGCTCTGTTTGGCCTTGAGAATGTTGAATTACAATCTTCTGATCCTTGATTGGTAGTGGTTGAAGTGAGAGTACCTATTGCCTCTATTCTTACCGAAAAAATATTATATGGCTAGTTCATGTGAAAGGTGGATCGATAGTCTTCAATTCTCCTCGTTGTTCTGGTCTCCACCACAAGATGCACAGCAACGAAAGGTGTGATTCATTTATTAACAAACATTTGACAGTAAAATATTACAATATTTCTTTTATTGTTTACTGGATGTAAGTTGCTTTTTATTTATTTTATGTGTGTGTGTTTCTGTTTCGTTTCTATTGGTTATGTGTCTAAACAAATTAGTTGTGTCATGCTCTTTACAAGGTGCATTCATGAACTGACTCACAACACCAATTGTAAATATCTAGTTAGGTATAGTGTTGGTCAATTAAATGAGATGTCTAACAAAACGTTGAGACATGCCTAGGTCATCCAGCAACTTACCAGACGTTGATATGAGTTTTGACATTAGGATCCATAGGAATTGAAGTGAGTTTATGCCCTAACATACCCATATCATGAAGCAAGTCAAGAGTGTACTTTTTTTTAAGACAAGGAGATCCTTTCCCTTGAGCGAGCCACCTCAATTTCCTGAAAATATTTGAGACATCCCAAATCTTTAATGGCCTTGTTTGGGAAGTTGGCTATTTTAGTTTTTGGCTATTTTAGTAGGCAAAAAATTTTGTGTTTGGGAAGATTGTTGTATTTTTTTGTAGTTAGATGTGATGTTTGTGAGAGAAAAAGTGAAATGATTATGGGTTTGATGTGACATTTTGTCTTATTGATTATTTTAGCCTAAAAAGCCAATTAATAGCCTTTCCCAAACAAGGCCAATATCAAAACTTTGGCCCAAGTCCTCCTTTCCTTGACCAATGTCGACAGAGTCATCACCTGTGAGAATAATATCATCCACATAAACTAATAAGACTACACACTGACTTGTAGAATTTTGGCGAATGAAACAACTGTGATCGGAGTGACACTGAACAAAGCCCATAGATATAATAACAGAACTGAAGCGATCAAACCATGCTCGTGGAGATTGTTTCATAGGTTGTATTCTTTAGGTATCATAAAGAAGTATAGAAATGGAACTTTTATTAGTTGGAGCTGGTGTGGTTGTATCCCGTAGCTGTACGAAGCAGGAGTGTGGGAGTGCCTAGGTATAGTTATATTGTAAGAAACGTATGGCTCTGATTACCCAACCGATAAGGGTGTGAGAACAATGCAATGCAATGGTAGAGGATTTTTTTCAATGTACTGAGAAAACACTCAAAAGAAAAATCTCTCACGTGTATGAAAAACGTATCTTAGAATTTTTGAGTTTAATGAAAACAGTTGTGTTAAATCTCAGTTAGGTTACCCTAAAAATGGATCAAGGATGAGGGTAACCAAACTTGTTTAGGAAAAGATTACACGAAAATCATTATTGGCTATTGATCCCTACAAAGGAGCAATAGATCACTCCATAAAAACATTGCTAATGCCTGTTTTGGCAATTGATTGCTCTCTACTAGGTTGAAAACCAAAATTAAGCCTTGGCACAAGAATTGACTTATTCGTGTCAGCAATTGATTGATGCACCAGAGGGATTGATGGTGAAGATTAGAGATCGATCACCTTCGTCTGCTTTAGAGATCGATTACTTGCACGAGGGAATCAATCACTAAGTTTGTTTTTCTTGGAAAAAGTTAATTTATATGAAAATGACTTTTGCGAAAAACCTTTCTAGGATCTAGTCAGTTTAATAAATACCCAATGCATGGACCTATAATGCAATCTCTTGTGAACACGAGAGTTTACCTGTGCTTGTAATGGAGCAAAGCTTGATAACAATGAAGTGAGTGAATAGAAGGTAACACCCTAACCAATTACCCATACAAAAGCAAAAACCTATACTCCATTACCTCATGGTTTGCCACACAGAAATAGCCAAGATACCATTGTTACATGGTCTGGGATAGAACTTAACCCCAAAAGCTAGCTCTTAAGGTGAGGGTGCCCTTACACTTATATGCTTAATATTACCTTAGCACTCAAGCGATGTGGGGCTTCGCTTAAAAGAATGGAAATAATTATTTGACATACTAATCAATGAGGTGGAGGCCATCTATATATAAATATATTCATGATACAATTTAGGAAATAATATGCACAAGGCAAGATTCCTACAATCAAAATAATTTCTATTCTAATTTCCATATTCAAACATATAATATTTTGATTCTTATATTCAGCACTCCCCCTTAAGTTGGCGTGAAGATATTCAACAAACGTACCTTGTCAATGGAAGACTAGAGCATCATTAGTCCCACATATTTTGTGAACATGTTTGCTAACTGCTAAGAAGAAAAGACAAAGGATGGATGTACAATGCCAGTTTGAACCTTTTCTTTGATAAAATGTATGTCTACCTCGATATGCTTGGTATGCTCATGAAGCACAAAATCAAAGGCTAACATGATAGCAGATTTGTTATCACAAAATAAAGAGGAAGGAATAGTCTACTCAACACCCAACCCTGCTAGAATAAAGCGAAGCCAAAGAATCTCACATGTCTCATGTGCCATAGCCCAATACTCAGCCTCTACATAAGACCTAGAAACAACTGCCTTCTTCTTACTTTTCCATGAGATAAGATGATCACCATAGAAAGTACAGAAGCCAGAAGTGGAATGCCTATTTGTCTTAGATCCTTCATAGTCAGCATCTGTGAAATAGGAGAGCCTAGATTGGAGACCAACTGTGAAGAACAATCCTAAGTCAAGAAAAGTCTTCAAATACCTCAAAATGTGATAAACCGCATCAAGGTGTTCTGTATGAGGTGCATACATGAACTGACTTACAACACTAACTGCAAATGTCAAATCAGGTCTAGTGTTAGTCAAATAAATGAGGCGTCCAACAAGGCACTAATACATGCCTAGGTCATTGTAATGACCCATAAAATTTCTTTTTTTAAATAGCCAGTGCATAATTTAATTGAGCAAATTTTTAAATTTGATTGCTGTGTAAATTTTGTGCGAAAACAGTTTGGTTTTGTATTTTTTAAAAATAGTTCCCGATCTCAGAAAGTTATGAAAATTTTATATATTGTTCTCATATGAGTCTAGCACGTTAGATAAAAATTTCAGAATTAAATGATGAGTATTTATTATATGAAAATTCACGGACTGATTGGTGTTCAGTTTAATTTATAGAAGAATTTTGTTATTTAATTTTGAATGTTTAGATCATGATTTGGATAAATTTGTTGGGTCTATCTTGGTATATAATTGGACCATGTTTGGCTTATGGGTGAGACCCATGACTTAGATTTAATTTAATTTGAGTTTGTTTAATAACAAGACTATACACTGACCTGTAGAATTTCGATGAATGAAGCAAGTGTGATTGGAGTGGCACTGAACAAAGCCCATAGATATAATAACAAAACTGAAGCGACCAAACCATGCTCGTGGAGATTGTTTCAGACCATACAAGGATTTACGTAAACGGCACACTTTTTCCGAATACTCCTCATCAGCTCGAAAACCAGGTAAAGGAGCCATGTCATCTCAAGAAGATCCCTCATGGAGAAATGTTTTCTTAACATCAAGCTAATGAAGAGGCCAAGAATGAGATACTATAACATAGATAAGGAGACGTACATAAGTAAGCTTGGCGACGGGGGCAAAAGTGGCACTAAAATTCTTGCCAGGAATCTGTGTGAAACCTTTGGCCATTAAGCGGGCTTTGTAACGGTCAACTAAGCCATCAGCGAGGTACTTTATGGTGAACACCCATTTGCAATCAATCATGCTTTCCTCAGGAGGTAAAGTTACAAGATTTCAAGTGTGATTCTATTCTAAGGCCGCCATCTCAGTTTGCATAGCCGCTACTCATTTGGGATTTTGAAAGGCCTCAGACACAGAATGAGAAATGCACTCCGACTCAAGTTTGCCAAGAAAAGAACAGTAAGAAGAGGAAACCCTGTCATAGGAAAGATACTAGGAAAGAGGATGATTAGTACTACTCAAATAACTCAAACGATTTGGAGGATGCTGATCCCGATGTGGGTTACGACGAGGAGGTGGAGGAGGAGCTAAAGGAGAAGAGTTACTTGACCCAAAGATCAGCAAAAACGACAGGAGGGGCTGAGTACGTGGGCGACGGGAGTATACTTGCAATGGGGAAGGAGGCGAAGGTTGAGAAGGAGAAAGGAGGACATTCTTATTTTTAACTTTGTCCAAAATGGTCACCAGGCGAACAGTGAAAGTAATAGGAGGAGAAGCCTACAAAGAAGGGTTAGTACCAAAGAAAGGAAAATCCTCACAAAATTTAACATTCAAAGTGTGGTGAAAGTGTGAAAGTGACAAGATATAGGGTCATAACACCTATACCCTTTGGACATGAAAGAGTACCCTAAGAAGATATAACAAATAAATTTGTCATCTAACTTTGTGCGAGTGAGATTCCAATTTTGAACAAAACAGGTAAACCCAAAGACACGAGGTAAGAGTGGAAACAGAGTGGTAGTGGGCATAAGGATATGAAACGAAGTGAGACCATGCAACACACGACTAGGGGTCCTATTAATGAGGTAAACAGCAATAAGGACAACCATATGCCAATAAGACTTGGGAACACTCATACCTCGAAGAAGACATCAGACAACAGATATAATATGACGATTTTTGTGTTCAGCAACATCATTTTGTTCAGGGATCCGAGGACAAGGAAGTTGTTGAAGAATACCGGTTTGATTGAGATGGGCACAAAATGCATTAGAAATATATTCCCCATCATTATCAGAATGGATAGTCCCAACAATTGTATGAAACTGAGTTTTAACCATCTGTAAAAATTGGACAAAAATGGAAAATACGTCAGATATACGACGAAGTAGATAAACCAAGTGCACCTACTATGATCATCAATAAAAGTCACATAATATCTATGATCAGAAAAAGCGGTGACAGGGGAAAGGCCCCAGACATCAGAATGTATAAGATCAAAAGCACTAGGAGCATGAGTCATATAAGGGATATAGCTAGTACCAGTATGCTTAGACAACTCAAAAATCACATAATGAAATTTAGAATCATTGCATGCTTTATTAAATGAAGGAAAAAGTTGACATAAATATTGAAAATTAACATGACTCATACGAGCGTGCCATAATTATGAAGTCTGAATATTAAAAACACTAGACATAGAAGCAGGCAAAACGGAAGTCTGAAAACTAGCTAAGGAAGAAGAGGAAGGCTTGTCCGATGGATCCCTAAAGTAGTATAACCCATCATGCTCATAGTTCTTGCCAAAAATCTTCTTCGAACTCGGGTCCTATAAAAGGCAAAAAGAAGGTAACAAGATGACAACACAATTAAATTGTTTGGCAAGACGACTAACGTATTAGAGATTATATGCAAAATTTAGAACATGTAAAATAGATGATAAAGTAATGATAGGAGATAAAAGACACTACACCCTTATGACGAATAGATGATAACGAACCATCAGCAAGACACACAGATTGGGCAATAATAGTAGGGACTGGCGAAGAAAGAAAGAAAAATTCACCCGTCATATGATCGTTAACCCCAGAATCTAGAGTCCATGAGGGACTAGCAGACTGAACATGGAAAGCAGCAGAAGTACTTGTTGCAAGGGTAGCAGCAGTGGTAGATGATGGGCCATGAGAACTGGCAATAAAAGATCTAAGCTGAGCTTGAAGCTGACCAATATGAGTATTATTCCTGTAAATTAGGGAGATGAGAAGACCCAGGAGCAGGAGTAATGGAATCCACTAGAGTTGCAATGCGAAGGGTTCCAGCACCACAAGGGCGAAGTTTGAAGCAACGAGCCTTAACATGACTAGAAGCACCACAATGATGACAAGTAACTGGACCAGTAGAACCCCGGGAACCAGACTTTGTAGCAAGAGCCATCTGATTGTTGAATATGAAAATTAGAGTACATAGAATCTTTTTATTTTTAGTATTATGTATATAATCTGTGATTGTATCAATTACTGATTTAGTATTGTTTTCTTATTTATATCTGTTCCTAAATTGTATCATGAATCTATTATATATACATGGCCTCTACCTCATTCATTGATAAACCAAATAATTCTTTTCATTCTTTTCGGTATCAGAGCTAAGTTAAGTACCTAATAATTTTGCTTCATCGGCGGGCGGCAGCCTTGCCTTAGACGCCCATCGGACCTCAATCCATTCTACTGTCACATTTTCTTTCAGTATCACTTTGTGGTGATCTCTTCCTCTATTTGCTAGTTTATTCCTATCACAAATATTTCTATCATATTTTTTTTACTTGCAATCCATTTTTTCGTGTGTTTCTTTTCCACTTTGTCTTTCCCTCTATTGCAACCTCAAATAGATTTCTATTTTCAAACCTATTTGAGTTTGAGGGAGGGGGGGTATTATTCCTATATCATGGTGAGCATGGTGATATACCATGTGAACCACCTAAGCCGCCCCATCTGGCACACAACCTAAGTTGCCCCTTTTGGCGCACAACCCAAGTCGCCTCCTTGGCGCACCACCTAAGCTGCCCCCCTGGCGCACTTTCTAATAAGCTGTCCCTTGGCGCACTCAGTCATCTGTTGTCATTATCGTTCAGCACCACATCATAAGTTATGTGTGTGCCACGCTTGCTGATTCAATATCCATTCTCTACATCGGTCTGGCATGTCTCGACATTGATTCCGGTTAGTCTCTATAACGGTCTGACATGACCATTTAAACTGTTCCGACATTAGTTTCAACTAGTTTTTACAACAGTCCAGCACGACCATAAACTATCTACCGTCATTAGCTCTGGCCTCTGATGCTGACCAGGGTCTTGTTGGCTGCCGACCAGGGTGTTTCCTAGCCATAGATGCTTTGGCAGCTCTTCTAGGGCAGTTCAGTCTTTGCTTTTTTCCCTTTTCTAGGGTGTGGTGTTGATGTATTAAACACTTTTTAGCCTTTTTTTATTTAGTGGACTGCTAGATTTGTTCGGTAGCATTTACTTGAACTAGCCGTTTAGTTTTTTCCGACTTCTTCTAGTCATCCATTAACAAGCTGCGATTGTTGAATATCTTCACACTAGCTTGAGGGGGAGTGTTGAATATAGAAATTAGATTACATAGAATCTTTTTATTTTTAGTATTATGTATATAATCTGCGATTGTGTCAATCGCTGATTTAGTATTTTTTCCTTATATGTATCGTTTCCTAAATTGTATCACGAATCTAATATATATACATGGCCTCTACCTCACTCATGGATAAGCCAAATAATTCTTTTCATTCTTTTCTAATCAGATGAAACTGGAGACAGAAGAGAAGGATTCGGTTGAACGAGACGCTTATGATGATCATCACTATCAATGATGGCAAATGCCTTATAGAGAGAGGGCATGGGTGATGTGTGTAAAATCTGAGTTCGAAGGGATTCAAACTCAGAATTTAAACCCATCAAAAACTGTAAGTGTGTTGGTGAGCAAGGCATTTGGACACAAGAGAGGCAGCATTTGGACACAAGAGAGGCAGCATTTGTTGGTAACTCAGTCAAGGGCTCATACTGAGCCAATTCTTCCTAATGGGCTTGAAGGTATCTAAAGAATTCTGACATAGAAAAACCCAACGCAGACTAGGAAGCACAAGCAATATCTTGATAAAGTTTAAAGATGCGAGCATCGTTATGAGCGTGAGCATACATCTGTGACAAAGCATGCCATAGACCAGGAACAATGTTGTAATAGAGAAACATGTGATAAATACGATCTTCCATAGAGTTGAACATCCGTGTCAAAATAGTACAATTATCAATATCCCCCTGTGCACATGTACGATCTGTTGTAGTAGGCTGGGTAGTGGAAGATAAATGCCAATGAGCTTTTTCCTTGCCCCCAAAATAGAGTTTGAGGGAGCGGCAAAATTTTTCCTATTCAACACCACACTCGTAATATGATGAACAAGAGTTTGGTGAGAAGAGAGAAAAATCAGAACTAATTGGGACAGGCTTAGTGGGTATATCAGCAAAGGATGGATCAGTCATGGTGGGAGAAGAGGGGCTGAAAAACATACAAAGATAGCAACACAGTCCAAGAAAAAATAAGAAATCAGAAAAAACTCAACGGCTTATCCAAATAGATGCTACCGAATAAACCTGGTAGCCTAAAAGAATAAAAGGGCAGACAAAGGGGCTTAATATATCAGTCCACTCACCCCAAGAAGGGAAAAAAATAGCCATAGACCGCCTAAAGAGACAGCCGAAAGACATAAGACTAGAACCAAGTCTGGTCGGCAACAACCAGAGCCTCGATAGGGATAAAGAAGGCCTGCCAAGGTGAAGATAAGGAAGGAGAGGGGCTGGGTGAAGGCTAGGTTGAGGCTGTCGGAAGGAGAAAAGGAGTTGGAAAGGGTTGTTGGAGGCTAGGTGAAGGCTAGGAAAGGCTGAAAAAAGGTTGGGCTGAGGCTGTCAGAGGGAGAAAAAGAGCTGGAAAGGGCTGTCGGAGGCTAGAGAGAAGAAAGAAGGGGTGGTGGGTGGTTGAGAGAGAGATAACTAGAGAGGTTCTGATTCCAAAAAGAATGGAAAGAATTATTTGGCTTACCAATCAATGAGGTAAAGGCCATGTATATATAATATATTCATGATACAATTTAGGGAACAATATACACAAGGCAAGATTCCTACAATCAAAAAAATTTCTATTCTAATTTCCATATTCAAACATAATATTTTGATTCCTATATTCAACACGCTTCACAACCTCCCTCACGCCTAACGTGCTCACTCGGCAGCACTTGCGGTCTACAGGCTAGGGACACACGCCTTACCCATCTCTAAGCACTCCAGTTCGGATATCATGTTACACGGTTTTGGGTAGAACTCAACTCCAAAAGTTAGCTCTTAAGGTGAGGGTTTCCTCACGCTTATGTACTTAATATTACTTTAGTACTCAGGTGATGTGGGAAATCACTTCACAACCATATCCTATTATAGACATGATACCGTGGTGGTTGATGAAAGTTACTTGAGGACCACATGGCATTGAAGAGTATGGTGGTTGATGGAAGTTTTTTGAACAGAGTATTGTTTTTTTTGGTACATCCAAGGCCATAGACTAGGGGAGGGGGAGTTTTACATATGGCAAGAATCAAACCCTTGACTCCTAGTGAGATGCCATGGTATTGACCAACTAATTCCACCGAGGAAATGATTTGTTCCACATTTATAGGTATAGCTAGAAATATACTTAATTATTTCAGAAGTCGGCCTTTCACACAAACTTTAAGAGCAACTTTCAGAGAAATTTGAGGATGTCCTAGTGATTATAAATTTGCAAATTTTTGCTGTTTGGTTTGTTTGTCCATATAGGAGTTGATACCCTCTATTGATTATTTGCATAAGCAATGTGGTTTTTAGTGTTCACTTATTAATTTCAATCTTCTCAAACTCATTTCTGGACACCTGTAAGGAGACTCCCTTCTCAAAAGGAGACTATCATAGGTGACTATCATAGGTGACTAAGTAAAAAATGACGTCACCATTTACCCTATTTACTTCTTCAAATACCACTATATAGGGTTAGGAAAAAATGGGTTTATGACGTAGAGATTAATGTAATTTTCAAGAAAGGACAGGATGCAACTATCTGTCTTGATGCTTCTTTAATTTATGCGATGGAAATATACTCCTAGCCTTAACCACTATGCTTCACATTTATGAAGCTTTTCTTTATGATAAGGTTGACATTGATAAGAAGTTTTATATAGATTGAGTGACACCTTGTTGGTAATTATAAATGGTCAAGTCTTTGCTTTGCATGATTTTGTAATATTAAGTTTTCTTGTTGATCTTTGTTCTTATATTGTATGGTTTTATACCTTCTATTAGTTTCAATTATTACTGATAATAGGCAATGTTCCTTTTATTTTTTTCTCCCTCTCCGAATCTTATTTCTAGGATCAAATTACTGCCTATGTTGAGTACTTTGGTCAGTTCACATCAGAACAGTTTCCCGAAGATATAGCTGAGGTACTGTTTTTCCCCCGTCTTATCTGAGTGTGTTTTTCCTTCTTTTATTTTTTTTGGTTAAAAGTTTTTGATTGTTATTTTCTTTCGTATATAGCATTTATTATCATCATTTCGTTTTTAAACTGCCTTTTCTTGTTGACATTTTTAAAACTAGAATACTTGATTAATTCTATCTCCAATAGTTATTAAATGTAAATGTTGTTTGCTGATTAAACCAATAAGAAATGTTGCTAATTGATGCAATCTTATTTTTGACAGCTGATCCGTAACTGTTATCCATCTAAGGAATTACGCCTTTTTGACGATGTTTTAGGTATCAGTTCTCACCCATGTTGATCTTTACAGCAATTGATTGTCAAAGCTGTTTTTCCTTTAATGTTTTGGCAGCATACTAACTTTTTTTTGTCATTGTACAATTACCAGCAATTTTTGTCCTTCATCACCCGGAGCATGGACACGCTGTCTTTCTTCCTATTATTTCGTGTATCATTGATGGTACACAGGAGTATGATCGAAGTATTCCTCCATTTGCTTCTTTCATTTCCTTAGTCTGCCCAAGTAGTGAGGTATGGAAACACCAGCACAAATTTGTTTAGGCTATTTTTTATTTGTTGCAATACCTGGGTGATGATTTTTCTTTCTTTCTAAACTGAATTTGGTAATTAAGAGTTGATTCTACTTTGTTAATTTTCCAGAATGAGTACTCTGAACAGTGGGCTCTGGCATGTGGAGAGATTTTAAGAATTTTGACTCATTACAATCGTCCAATTTACAAGGTTGATCATCAACACAGTGAAGCTGACAGAAGTGACAGTGGCAGCCTTGCTACGAGTAACTCTGCAAATGGGGATGTACAACAGGAAAGGAAACCATTTAGGCCTTTATCTCCATGGATTACTGATATATTGCTGGCTGCACCTCTGGGTATTAGAAGTGACTACTTCCGTTGGTAAGTGAGTGTGTTGGCTCTTTTGTGGCTTGAAGTTTCCCTTCAGGTCAGAAAAATTCTGCATTATGGCATTGATAGTTTGTCAACCTCATGCTTTTGAATTTAGAGATTGAAGCTTCAGTTGGATCAAGTTACAATCTTATTGAATTCCATGCAATATTCATGTTTGTATCACAGGATGAAAATTCTGTGAAGAATCTAATGGCTCTGTCATACTGCACAGAGGAAGAGAAGCTCACTTGGAATAGACAATGCAAATGTATCACTGTGTATATCAATGCACTTGTTTTTGCTACTTGTTAACACATTAGTATCTACTTTATCGTTCTGAGTATGTGCAGTTACACAATATTCAGGGCTTCATATGTCATTTTGTTGGCTATGGTAGATTTTGAAGAAATGATAGTTACACTCCTGATTATGATGCTATTTGCAAGTTTGGAACGAGCGATTAACATCTTACTAGCTTGATGGAAATCATTGGTGATGTCTTTATTTTCTTATAGTTTAGGCTCTTCATAATTATTATTATTGTTACATAATAATGTTGCATTTATTATAGGTTTCCTTTGTGGGGGTGATGGTAAGTGACGTTGTTGGTCGTGGACTGTCCAGGAATCATGGTACACACTAAGATGGTGTGAAAGCACCAGAGGTGGAGAGGGAGAGAGCGAAGTAGTGTTAGAGTAGAGATAGGGTGACAGTGAGGGAGGAGAGCCTCTAAGGTAGTGGGAGCTCTCTGCGCATGGAATAGCTTGCTTATAATGTTGTTGTATATGGAGGGGGAGACCCCTTTTTATAGGAGAGTTGGGTTATGGAGGCCAACTCACTCTTGTAGGCTGTGCTGAGTAGGTGCGATACATCTTACAAGATTGCAGTGGGTAGTGTGGTACACTTCTTGAGGGGCTACCCTGAGGGAGTGAGTCAAGCAGCTTTGATCATCCCTCAACTTTAACCACCAATCCACAAGTCCCTCCCTGATGATCCCCTGGAGGGTCATGGGTTGCTTGGGCACCCTCATAGTTGAGGCACCCACTCCCGAGGGGTGTCCCTAGGCCCTACTCTCGGCCTGGGCAAGCTATAATGTGTAGGTGTGCCATTTTGGAGGTGGAGCCTTGGCGGTGAAGTGACTGCCAAGTGGGTGAGGGGTGGCACATGGCACCGAGTGGGTAGTCGCCAAGTGATGGTAGCGAGGCAAGTAGATGTTCACGGAGTGAGGGATATGCTCGTTGAGCAGTGGTATAGAGGAGAGCAGATGGTTGTAAAGTGGGGGATTTGCTCGCGGAGTTGGGGGTATTGAGGTGAGCAAATGGTTGCTGAGCTGGGTATTTGGTCCTGTAGTGGGGTCGCCTTGGGTGAGCAGTTGTCTAGGCAAAGCTTATGCCTTGAGGTTGTGGGGTCCACTCCTTGGTGGTCATATGGCCAATCAAAGGTATTTAGATACCTACACCCTTCAGAAGTTTAGCTCACTCACACATAATCAGGTATAAGGTATCACTCTGCCACTCTGATTACATGAACATACTTGATTGAACTTCTTCTCTTCTCTTTTTGAAAATCATAGATATTGATTCTTTATATGGTCTAAGTTTTCCTACCTCTTGTTTACATTTTCTTTCAAGGATTTTCATGTTGTCTCCAATCCTTCACTCACCCTTTTTGTGCTTGCATGGGCTGCACATGAAGTGATGGGTTTTCATTTCGTGGTATATCATTAGGAGAAGCATGAACCTCTAGGAGGTTACCTATGGTCCCTTGTTTTCTTTTAGCAGCATTTCATTAGCTTTGGCACTATAATGGTTTTAGATTTGTAGACAACTGTAGACGACAGTCTTAGATAATGAATCCAATATGGTATAAACAATTCATCACATAATTAATGTAAAAGCACATATTTTGATAATTATTTTAATTCTTTATGAACTATTTTAACTAGTTGGTGCTATGCTCCCTTACATCATTGACTTTTCGTGCATTAACAGGTGTGGAGGGGTGATGGGAAAATATGCAGCTGGAGAACTCAAGCCACCTTCAACTAGTAAGTGGAGTTCCTCTTCTGGAATTTGCACTATGATTGTACGTATTGTGGTTCTATGTGTATGTTCCAAACCCATCTAGTTTACTAACCCTAGTCTAGAGTCCTTCTACATCTCAAAACCCTAAACCTACTGTCTTTCCATAACCAAAACGCACCAAAAATTCAATTATAAGTGGCTCTGTCATAAGGTTCTCTATACCTGTCTTAGATCTCATAATTTGTTTGTAAACTCCGTAACCTTCAAACTTCATATAGACCATATATTAAGTTATGTCTTGTTATGTTATTAATACGAAAATGTTAATGATATTTATCACTGAGAAACAAAGGTATTGATTTGGCATTTCTTTTAGCTTCTCGAGGATCAGGGAAGCACCCCCAGCTCATGCCATCAACTCCAAGATGGGCTGTTGCCAATGGCGCTGGTGTTATATTAAGTGTTTGCGATGAGGAAGTTGCTTGCTATGAGACTGCTACTTTAACTGCAGCTGCTGTTCCTGCACTTCTGCTTCCTCCTCCAACAACAGCTATGGATGAGCACCTTGTAGCAGGGCTACCTCCTCTTGAGCCATATGCTCGTTTATTTCATCGGTACATTTCTGGGCCTTTCACTACAGTCCACTGAAACTACTTGAAAAGTGTTTCTGAACTTTGTTTTTGTTCTGGCTTAGCTATTATGCAATTGCTAGTCCAAGTGCCACACAAAGACTTCTTCTTGGACTTCTAGAAGCGCCTCCATCCTGGGCACCTGATGCACTTGATGCTGCTGTACAACTTGTGGAACTGCTTAGAGCAGCTGAAGATCATGCATCTGGCATGAGGGTGAGTTGTGAGTTAACCCTTCTTGATTTAACCCATTTAAATACACTATATGCCATACTATCAAATGGCAATCGATATCATAAAGAAATTAATATCTCCATATTCTTTATTTACTTTGAATTGAGTTATTTTGGGAACTATGTAAATCATAGGCTGAGACCGTTCCATAGGATCGAATTGAACGGAATTAACTGTGCACGTTACATTATTCAGGTTGGCTTGGAATTTCATTTTTAGTAGGGAATTGCTGTCTATATTGTCATTTTACTTGTCCATACCTTTTAGTGGATTTCCATAGTAGGTAGATGTTGATTAGGCCAAAGTCTTGTAATGGGCGTCAGCATTGATGATATGCACTAAAGCAACCATATGAAAAGCCCTGGTTGGAAATGCATTTTTTTTTTTTTTTTTTTCGGTTGGTAAAAAATTTGCTTGACCTTAGAATGAGTGCATTTGGGTTTAGGGTCATCGTTTTTAGATTAATGGCCCAATTGATAAATTTATAGAGGCTTCCTAAAAACTGGTACCTATCTTAGGCTTTTTGTGACCAAAATTAAGCAGCTTCTTAAAAGGGTGGATCTAGGATCTAGAATTGCAGTATTGGAGAATCTATAGGTGGGACCCCATTGACATAGTTTTTTTTCCCCATCTGTACAGAACTTCAATGTTGTAGAGGCTCCAATCCGTATTTGTTTGTTTGTTCAAATCATCTCTTGAATGTTAATTTCTTCACGAGCCTCAATAATCAGTATGGCTTTTACATTCAAAAGAACGTGAGATTATAGGTGTCTTTCTGATGAATTAGCAAAGGACATACATAATCAATCAAAAAGAAAAAATAAAAAATAGAAGAAATAACAGAGGATATTTGGAACTTAAAAATTGCTTAGATTCATTCTAATGAAAGGTTAGCTCTTACTTCATACAATAGAGACATGTTAATGTTTATTATGGAAAGCACTAATGCATGACACATATTTTGGATTTTTATAGTTAAAGTACTAAATATAAGAGTTGGGCTATAGAGGAGGCACGACTAGGGCTTACACTAATCATTCCAAAGAATCTAAGGGTTCATCTTCCCCAAAATATCATACATGAGAACTGATCTGGTCAGGATTATAATCCATCAAGAACCTTCATCTAGCATTCTTATGGAAAGCCTTGGAGAGGTGTCCTCATAAAAACTATGCAAACATAGAAACATTGTCTACAACATTATGATATAAAATATGCAGTCCATGATGGAGTTATTTACTACAGCATGCAATGCTCGATTACTAGTTTGAGGTCATATCTTGTCAGCGAAGTAGGTCAAAATAGGCTTAGATACTGACCAGATTTTCTTATGGAGGGAATTGATCAGCTTGTTGAGTTATTTCTACCAAATGCATGACTCAATCATTTTATTGCTGATGTAGCTTCCAAGGAACTGGATGCATTTGCATTTCCTGCGTGCAATTGGGACTGCAATGTCAATGAGAGCAGGGATTGCTGCAGATGCTGCGGCTGCATTGCTTTTTCGCATACTTTCACAACCTGCATTGCTTTTTCCTCCACTGGGGCAAGTTGAAGGAGTTGAACTTCAGCATGAACCTCAGGGTGGTTATATTTCATCCTACAGGAAACAGGTAGTGGGCAGGAATTGTTGTTTCAGTTTTATTTTTACGATTGAATGCTTCCAGTTATGAAAGAGCATGGTCTCTGGTGATGCCTTTAAATTTGGGTTCCTTTGTATGAAGATTTGCTTCCTGAATTTAGCTACCTTCTGTACAATTTTTTTTTTTTTTTTAATCAGATAGAAGTGGGGAATTGATCAGCTTGTTGAGTTATTTCTACCAAATGCATGACTCAATCATTTTATTGCTGATGTAGCTTCCAAGGAACTGGATGCATTTGCATTTCCTGCGTGCAATTGGGACTGCAATGTCAATGAGAGCAGGGATTGCTGCAGATGCTGCGGCTGCATTGCTTTTTCGCATACTTTCACAACCTGCATTGCTTTTTCCTCCACTGGGACAAGTTGAAGGAGTTGAACTTCAGCATGAACCTCAGGGTGGTTATATTTCATCCTACAGGAAGCAGGTAGTGGGCAGGAATTGTTGTTTCAGTTTTATTTTTACGATTTCCAGTTATGAAAGAGCATGGTCTCTGGTGATGCCTTTGAATTTGGGTTCCTTTGTATGAAGATTTGCTTCCTGAATTTAACTACCTTCTGTACAATTTTTTTTTTTTTTTTAATCAGATAGAAGTGCCTGGAGCTGAAGCAACCATTGAAGCCACTGCCCAAGGGATTGCATCAATGCTATGTGCCCATGGGCCTGAGGTTGAATGGAGAATATGTACCATATGGGAAGCTGCTTATGGTCTGATTCCATTAAGTTCCTCAGCTGTTGACCTTCCTGAAATTATCGTTGCAACCCCCTTGCAACCTCCCATTCTATCATGGAATTTGTACATACCTCTCCTTAAAGTCCTGGAGTATCTTCCTCGTGGAAGTCCATCCGAAGCATGTCTCATGAAAATTTTTGTAGCTACCGTTGAAGCGATTCTTCAAAGAACATTTCCACCTAAGTCCTCCAGAGAAGAAATCAGGAAAGCGAGGTATCTTTTTGGTGTTGGGTCTGCCTCAAAAAATCATGCTGTTGCAGAGCTTCGCACAATGGTCCACTCACTATTTTTGGAATCGTGCGCCTCTGTAGAGCTTGCTTCACGCTTACTTTTTGTTGCGTTAACAGTGTGTGTTAGTCATGAAGCTCAGCAACCCAATGGGAGCAAAAGGCCAAGTGGTGAAGATAATCATCCTCCTGATGAAATCAGCAAGGACTTGCAAGTGACACCTGAGAACCAGAGAGAAATGAGAACTAGGAAAACAAAGAAACAGGGCCCTGTAGCTGCATTTGATTCTTTTGTTCTAGCAGCTGTCTGTGCTCTTGCCTGTGAACTTCAGTTGTTCCCTTTGATTTCAGGAGGGAATAATCGTTCAGATGTATCGAAGCCTGCAATGATAAATGGTTCTCCTAATGAGCTCGGGAATAGTATTGACTCTGCAGTTTGTCATACTCACAGACTATTGGCAATTTTAGAGGCACTTTTTTCGCTGAAACCATCTTCAGTCGGCACCTCATGGAGTTACAGTTCCAATGAGATAGTCGCTGCTGCAATGGTTGCTGCTCATATATCTGAATTATTCAGACGATCAAAGGCTTGCATGCATGCTCTATCTGTCTTGATGCGGTGCAAGTGGGATAATGAAATTCACTCCAGGGCATCTTCACTATACAATCTCATAGATATTCACAGCAAGGCTGTTGCATCTATAGTTAACAAGGCAGAACCACTCGAAGCACATTTGATGCAAGGACCAGTTTGGAAAGATAGCCCAATGGGTCATGATGGCAGAAAACAAAATAAATGTGCAAATTCTAGCTGCACTGAATCAGTGCAGCCATCTTCCCTGCAGCGTGATAATTTGGCAGATTCAAGAACTTTACCTAAGAGTGAGAAAGCTTCTCATTCAACTGCAGGCACGGGAAATCTCACAGGAAAAGGAATTGCAAGCTTTCCATTAGATGCATCGGATTTGGCCAACTTTCTCACAATGGATAGGCATATAGGATTTAATTGCAGTGCACAAGTTCTTCTGAGATCAGTACTGGTAGAGAAGCAAGAACTGTGTTTCTCAGTTGTTTCATTGCTCTGGCATAAATTGATTGCAGCCCCTGAAACACAACCCAGTGCAGAAGGCACTTCTGCTCAGCAAGGATGGAGGCAGGTAATATGTGATATTTCAAATCTCATGCAATATCTCTTTTTAGATCATTTCACATTCAAATCACTAAATTTTTTCAAACATTTATCTAGAAAAGATCATATTTGTCTGAAAAAGCACATTACAAATTTGGAAATTCAAGGGCAATACTGCTTTCTTAATTCTATCTTTAATAAGAAGCTTTATTTCTTGCATTTTCATTGTTGTTTGTACACCTCAAAATCTATTTCTGGGCGTACCCTGTGCACGAAGCTCCCGCTTAAGTGGGGTCTGAGGAAGGGTTGATGTCCCCAGCCTTACCCCCGCAAGCGGAGAGGCTGTTTCTGCAACTCGAACCCCTGACCACTAGGTCACCAAGGGGTAGCTTTACCGCTACGCCAGGCCTGCCCTTCACCTCAAAATCTATTTCTGAAGCTTCAAAATGTCGGACCGGTACATATATATGTGATTTTTTTAATATTTTCTTATGTGATTATTTATTTTCTCTTTTTTGATTTTATTAGCGCTATCTAAGAGTAGTTCATTTTTTCATACCCATGCTTTATATTCAAATCATCAAGCAATGGTTTCTTTGGCATGTATATTGGTAGTACCATCCCATGGAAGATTAAAAAAACATAGAAAATTATTGAATTGTTGGAACTTTTGTATTTTTTTAACTTCAAGGGAAAACCAAGCTGATTAGGCACACTTCTTTATATGGTTGTCAGTGACCCATCGGTTACGTGGGTTGAATACTACAACTGCTTCAATGCATGCATGTTTTATGACACAGTTGAATTTTCATGATTGATAACTAGTTTAAGATTTCTTATCCTGCAATATTTCTTTTTAGATTTCTTATCCTGCAATATTTCTTTGATTATGTTCTCACTTCTCTTTTACAAGTCATTGCATTTATCTGTGTGGCATTTGCATGTGGGTAATGGAGTAAATTTTTTGTTAAATCAGTATGTTCTTTACATAAAATGTGCTCAGAGTTGACTATCTAATGTAAATGTACAGGTGGTTGATGCACTATGCAATGTCGTATCAGCATCACCAACAAAAGCTGCAACAGCTGTTGTTCTTCAGGTCCAAATTTTGTTCATCTTACAACTTATGTACTTGAATAATGGTGACACCTATTTTTGATTTTGGTGGACACAGAAAGGCATTAAATAGTTTAAACTACCTTTATTTTATTTTTATTTTTTGGTAAATAAGAACAATATTATTAAAAAAGCATCAACAAATATCCAATAATTACAATCGATGAGGAAACAAAGACTCAATGAATCCAAAAAAGCAAATACATCCGGATCCATAGTTCCTAACACCCATCTATGTAAAACAACCAACAACTTGTTTTTCAGACAAGGAACCGAAACCGCTAAACCCTCAAACGTCCAACGATTCCATTCCAACCACACCAACCACATTAACCATAAATGAGCCAACAACTAAGCCTTCATCTCTTCCCAACCCAACCCGCTCTTCAACTCGCCAACACCTCCCTCACCGTCCCTTGCTGCACCCAAACCAAATTGAAAACACAAAAATCAACCTCCATAACGGAGACGTCATTGGACAATGAAGAAGAAGGTGTGGCATAGCCTCCGCATCCTGACAATACAAACAACAGCAATTGGCCAAAACATGCCCACGATACATCAAATTATCCAATGTCAAAATCCGACCATGCACGGCCGACCAAACAAAAAAAGAAAGCCACTTCAGATAGCAACCCAGAAGCCCAAACCCCCCGCCAAGGGAAAGAAACATCCCTGGCCACCAACTATATCGATAAAACGAAGATACAAAAAACACCCCTTTAACCCCCTTGCACCTCGACCTCAACCTCAAACCATACAACTCTGCCAACAGGTCTACCAACTGGTCAACCTCCCAATCAAACATTGATTGACGAAGCTTTACATCCCATACCATCCTACCATCCACAATGGACAAGTAAGAAGCAACTTCCACATCCTGACGATCTGCAATCTGGAACACCAATGGAAACCAGCCAACCAACCAAACTCTACTCACCACACCACCAATTCAAAACCTCACCCGAGGCCCACAGCCAACATTGAAACTAATCCACCTCCAAAACTCCCCCCTCCCAAGCCAAATACCCTTCCACAAACCGCTCCCATGAGAACTCAACTTCCCAGAACACCAATCCCCCCACTCGATGCCACATTTAGCCACCACCAACCTTCGTCAAAACCGATCCATTATATTACCTTTATTATATTACAAAAAGGGCTAAAAATCAACTGTTGCTTTTCATGGCCTAATTTTGGCGGAGGTACCACCTAGCAACTGTTCTATTAGCAACCTCAAATATTTGTATAATTTAATTTTAGGGTTAAATTTACTTTACTCCCTTGTGGTTTAGACTTGGAACACTTTACCCCCTAAGGTTCAAATATATGCTGAGAATCCCCTTGTGGTTTTGGACTAAATTGCAATTCTAACTCTGTTAACAGTAAAAATGAAATGACCTTAATACCCTTCTATTCTTTTGGCTTGTTTTTTTAGTTTTGTTATTTTCTTTGGCTCTTTTCTATTATACAAATTTCTTTCCTATATTTAACTAACATTAACTAAATTAAATATCTACTTATCCCTAAATCTATAGTTGTTTATTATAAATCACATTATAAACATAATTTCTAATTTAAATAACATTAATTTAATTAAATCACAAATTATCGCTAAATCTCTAATTATTTATTATAAATCACATTATATACATAATTTCTAATTTAAATAGCATTAATTTAATTAAATCACAAATTATGCCTAAATTTCTAATTTAGTAAATCACACTATATCTTCCAAAGGAACTGACCGTTTATGTATCATATATATGTATATTTCAGAGGAAGTGTATACTATACATATACATACGTATATCAATTGCTTTTGCTGCGATGAATTGAAAGTCTTGCAATGGAAATTATGATTGATTTCTGTTTCTGTGAGAATGACGAACGTGCTTTGAAATAGAAAAAGCAACAGCGGTGACCGTGGTATGATGGTCAGAATTTACAGAAGAGACTGGTGATGCTGGTATGTTGGTGACGCTGGTAGGCGACTGAAGAAGGCAGTGGCAATGATGGTCCAGGACTGAAAGGAGGCGGCAACGGTGGTCCAAGAAGGAAGAGATGGTGATGATGTTGGTCGGAATTTACAGAAGAGGCAACGGCGGTATCAGAGATGCTGGTCAGGGATGGGAGATTCAGCAACGGCGACAGTTGAGGATGGGAGAGGAGGCGGCGGCGCTGGTTTGGGAGGGAGGGAAAAAGGGTGGCTGGTCAAGGTGAGGGAAGAGGATGGTTGGGTAGAGGTTTACAGATTTGGCAATTGCTGATGAAGATGAGGGTAGACTTTGGAAATTGATGATGATGATGATGATGATGATGATGATGATGAGGGTGGAAAAGTCCTTTTTAATTTTAATTTTACATTAATTAAAAAAAGGACACTCTCAAAATCTGCGTGTGTATAACATTTTCCGTTAGCTTGGACAGAGATTGTAATAGTTGCAATTTAGTCAAAAACCACATGGAGGTTGTCTGCCTATTTTTAAACCATAGGGGCGTAAAGTGCTCCAAGCCTAAACAAGGGGTAAAGTGAATTTTGTCCTTAATTTTAATAATTTCATTTGTTTAGTTACTTTATTTTTCTCATGTGCTCGTCAGGCGGATAGGGAATTGCAGTCTTGGATTGCTAAAGACGACGATCAAGGTCAAAAGATGTGGAGAATCAACCAGCGAATTGTGAAACTGATTGTGGAGCTAATGAGAAACCATGACAACCCAGAGTCATTAGTAATTTTGGCTAGTGCTTCAGATATTCTTCTGCGTGCCACGGATGGGATGCTCGTCGATGGAGAAGCATGCACTTTACCACAGCTGGAGGTAACATCTCGCAATTTACTAGTCAAATACACTATCCTCTTTCAAATCCTCTAACCTTCGATTTTAAAATTTGTTTTAAACCTTCACACTGTTTTTAAGTGTTCACTGGCATTTTGAGTTCTTTTATGTCCATCCCTTGAAAATGGTTAGCACGATATGAAACTATGTATCATCCCATGCCTTGACGATGTATTAACTAATACTGTAAAACAATAAATGTGTAGCTCCTTGAAGCAACAGCTAGAGCAATTCAACCAGTTCTTGAGTGGGGCGAATCAGGATTGGCAGTTGCAGATTGCCTTTCAAACCTGTTAAAGGTAATTACTTCAACCCCCCTAGTGGAGATGTTGAATCTCATGTAATGTCAAGGAAGGCAAAAAAGAGATCATACGAGTACTTTATTGTGTTGAAATTTGCGCTCTCATGTCGTTTAATAGTGGCATATAGGCATAAAAAGATTCCAAATACAAAGATTTTCTATTTTTGCCTAGTTTAATTCCTTTGAAGTATGCATACCTTACTGATATGAATTACCTTCACAAATGCATGCAGTGTCGCGTACCGGCTACAATACAATGCCTTTCTCATCCGAGTGCTCATGTCCGTGCTCTTAGCACATCAGTTCTTCGTGATATTTGGCATACTGGTTCAATAAAATCTAGTACTAAACAAGTGGACATAAACCACTTACATGATGCCACTTATCAATATCTAGATGTAGGCACCATTGATTGGCAAGCGGATATTGAGAAGTGTCTAACATGGGAAGCTCATGGAAGACTTGCAACTGGAATGCCTATTCATTTTCTAGATATTGCTGCTAAGGAATTAGGATGTTCTATATCAATTTGAGATTTCTAGCACTTGTCAGCTGCTTTAGATTCATTGGTATTCATTACAAGTGAGGATTTGCAAAAACAAGAAAACCAATTTTCATGAAGGATACTGAAAGGAAGGAGAAGTTCTTCGATGGTGAGTGGTAAAATGTCATTATCGTCCTTTACACAATAATGGCTGGTGTACAGTGAGATTGTAGACATGGCTGATGATGTTCAATGTGATGTTGTTCAACTTTATTTGCACAACTTCATTTCGTATTGGGTCAGAAACCGACATTTTACTTTATTGAGTAGATTATCATGGATTTCTTTTGGCATAAGAATACTGAATATCAGGCTGTCTCGGTTATATAATATTTGGTTTTTTCCCCTCCAACATTATTATCTTGGTGGAAATTGCACTGTTTTTGTTACCTCATCATTCTTGCTCTTAAACTGTGGCCTTTCTACCTTAATATGGCTGACATGGAGTTCTGAATTTCCTGCCTTCATTGATTCATGACATGTGAGTCGATCCATCATGGTATTGAGTGGAAATTCTCAAATTCAATTGGCAAGAATTACCTTTGAATTCATGGGATTGGATGACTCTATAACTTGCATATTACTGATTCATGTGCTGAGTTGTGGATGGTTAAAACTTGCATGGTTATTCTTTAGTATTGATCTTGCTAGTCTATGCGCAATAGTAGGAATCTGAAATTGAAACTATATGTAAAACAGAAGGGCAGTTTTGTTTAGTAAATGTCTAAAATTACAGAAAAGAAAAATAGCTCATTGATCACATATGAAAAATCAGAGCTTACCGGTTACATCTCAATAAAGCCAACGGACCTTCACTAGCGAGATGAAATAGAATGAAAAACTAGCAGCTAATATTATTCATGAGACAGTTAAAAGACAATTAAAAGACAATCTAGGGAACATTGAATCTTAGTTATAAAAAAAAAAGCATCATATTACAAAATCTGACCTGAAACTTCGAATACTACCAAACCAAAACACAAATGGAAGCTAAACTTGAGTAATATTAAACATAGAATTCAAATACTAATCCATAAGAAAACTGCCACAATTCTGGGTTTAAGTGAGGTGACGACCCTAATTTTGATTATTTTTGTTTCTTGATGACCTTCCAAATGGGGTACCCCTTATCCTGCCATTGGATCTCCATGTCAATGTCAAGTTTGTGGTACCAACACGACCACCGATAAGAGGTAAAGGATCAGGCAAAGCACATTGGACATAGGGAAATAAATCCTAGTAAGAGCCTGGTGGAGACGCCCACAGTATTGGAGTAGTTGAATCTTTCGAGTCTCCAAATTATAAGAGATCATATGCCCCAATCAAAGGTACACAACCTGTGAGTCCTGAGGATGAAAAGCTGTCAAAAATGGGAGCTTTGGGAAGCCCCAAGTTATAGGATTGTCTCCGATATTGGCCAGGTTCATGGTTTAGGGATAGTTGACAGACAAATCTTTGTATTCCACATTGTGCCTCAAGATCCATTCACTAGATGGAATGGTTTTGGAGAAACTGTAATGAGTTATCTTCTTTCTGAGAACCCAAATAGTAAACTCCTTCATGATGGCACAGGCCACACTGAAGCAAGCCATGGAGTGACTGTCCTATAGCTCTTGTGACTCCAGGCCATATATCATTCAACAATCTTATCAATTACTTGTGAATATTATTCCCCGTGTTAAAGGATCAGAAGCAGCAATAAAATCGACGTATTTCCTGAGAGCTTTCCAATAAAGAATGCCGCATACTTCGTCACACAATGAGTATGGTTGCAGTAGAATTTTGCAGGCACAAGCGAGCAGTGATTCTGTCCATTGGTCAATCTGGATGAGAAGGTTTCAATTTGAAGCGTGTTGCCAAAGTCTAAGCATACTCGAATGACTTTAAGTGGATCACCCCAACATCACTAATTTCTTCTTCACAGGAGAGAGCAATGGCGCATCCCTGATCGTCCAAGCTCAGTTTAGGAAGGGATGAAATTGAAAAGCCCAGTTCATACTTCTTCTTAAAACTTAGGTATTAAAGAGACGAAAATTGGGGCTGTGTTTGGAGCAGCTTTCGAAACATGATTCCAGAGCTGTTTTCAATGCTTTGCTTGGTTAAAGTTCTTAAAAATTAATTCCCATATAACATTTCAAAACTCATTTCTGCTTCTGCTTGGAGAAGCGAGTTTTTTTTGAATTTTGAATTTTGAAAAGCGCGACTTGGGTTTGCCCGGTCATCCTCCCAGATGTTTAGTCGGTTGACCGAAACAGTGTTTTTTTTTTTTGCAATTGCCACCTGTTATTTGGGGGAGGGGGGAATTTATATTTGTTTTTGATATTTTAAAATATAGAAATTATTTTTTGGACAAGAAAATAAAAAAAATCTCGGAATTTTTTGAATTTTTATTTTTTTAATAAAAAATATTTTCGGAAGTTTTGAATTTCTTAAATCATAGTCTTTGATCAGTTCTAGCCATCTCCGCTGTCTCATATTCAGTTCCTTCTGTGTGAAGAAATGTTTTAGGCTCTTGTGGTCGGTGTATACTTCGCACGTTGCCCCATACAGATAGTGACACCAGATTTTCAGTGCAAATACTACTACAGCAAGTTCCAAATTGAAAAGATTCAATAATAATAAAAAAACAATAATTGCAATTTATAATAAAAAATATTTAAAAATAATAATTCAAACCAAATATACAATTAAAAGTTATTTTAAAGCAGTAATTGAATATTTATTTTGAAAAAAAAAATTATTTTGTTTGTAATATTTTCAATTTAGAAAATTTTATTTTATTTTTTTTAATAATTATTTTTTTGAATTGAATTTTAAAAAGAGTTTGGTTATGAGTTTTGAGCAGAATTTTTAATAGAGTTTTGAGTTGTGTGTGTGGTTATGAGTTATAACTTTTTAAATTAAGTTTTAAAAACTTTTTTCAAAACTTATAACCAAACAAATTTTCTTATTTAACATGTCACATCAAACATTCAAAACTCAATTCAACACTCAACTCAAAACCCAATTCAAAACTCTTTTCAAAACTCATAACTAAACAAATTTTGTACACTCAAATCATAATTCCAACACTCACAAACTCAAAATATAACTCTATTCTCAAATCATATTTTTAAAACTCTACCAAACGCTACCTAGAGCTTTATAACCAGTACAAATGGGGGCAACTCCAGGCAGGCAATGTGGGGCACATTCGAACACATCTTTCTGGACCACAATATACAGTAGCTGGAGAAACTATACACCAATCACAGGACCAACTAAGTTCTAATATCAAATTGAAAAGCTCAGTCCACACTTCTCCTTAAAACCAAGGTATTAAGGAGAGAAAAACTGGAGCCTTATAACCAGCACAGATGAGGTAACTCTAGGCGATGTGAAACACACTCCAACAGATGACCATGGATTTGTAATGGGGTTGCAGACGTAGTAAGTCACAGTGTGGTAGCCACAAAGAATGAGGCCCTGAGAAAACCGACTTTTCTGATGAAGTTATGGGACCTTATGCACTTGCCTTGTTCTTCTCGAAAATTAGCGGAGAGGAATGGAAGTGGAGGAGCGTGTTCATCTATAGGGATATTGCTTTGTAAAGTGGTGGTGCCATGGAAGAATTCCAATAGGGGAAGAGAAGAAACTGCTTTGATATCAGATATGTGTCGGTGTCGAAAAAAAAAGGATCACATATTAGAGAATTCCACCCCGTTGAAGCACACTTCCATAAAACTGATTTTTGAGGCAGCTTAAGCACGATTTCGGTGAGAACTATTTCACTGCAAAACAGTAACTTGTGCTGCCGCAGCCGCACTACTTGTGGTGGTGTTGTTGTCCTAATTCATCCTGAATGAACAAATCAAATACACAAAAAAGATTAATAGATTAGAATGTTTTAATTATATATTTTAATTAGTTGAAAAAGTAATACTACTGCTAGTTGGTTTGGTATATATATATATATATATCCTAACAACATGGCGGACTTGCAAGGTGTTTCATCACATTTATAATCAAACCGCCCACTCCAAAAACAAAATAAACAAACAATAGAGAAGAAAATACAAAAAATGAAATAAAATATGATCAGTTAAATTGATAGAAGCAATAGTAGCTATCCCCCCTTGATGAATTCTTCAAATTCTAATGTTATGTTTTAGGAGTAACTTCTTTGCCACAAACCGAACTAATAATTGATGGTTTTTGTTGAAGAAAATACTATAAAAATAATATTTCATTTATAAAACATATGAAAAAAGAGATACAAATAGATTAGGTTGAGATATGGATATCTCGTTTTCTTTAAGGAGATTAAATTCACTACGGTAGGAAAAATCCAAACTCAGCAGTCGCCAAACTCTAACTTGTCCCTTCCAGGATACAATAGCTTGACCACATATTGTATGATTTAAGTCAACTCTGCACAAGATGGTGAATCTAAAACTCTACCTTTCTTTGACTAGTAATCTCTCAAGTGTAGAAATGTTGGTGTAGGATGAAAAGATGGAGAAAGGGAGTATTTAGGCTACATGAGTCTATGTAAAATAAACCAATAATAATAATAATAATAATGATCCACTAAACTACAGTAATGGGGGATTCCCCATAATCTACAAATACGTACTCATCACCATGGTCCACCTTCCAAAACTCCTCGTTCATGGATCAAACAAAAGGTCACAAAATAAAGAAATAATTTTTTAATCAATAATATTAAAATAGTCTAACAATCCTCACTTATTTTAATATTAACAAGGAAGAGAGATTACTAAATAAAGATAGACTATTATATATCATGAAGGTGTGTTTTGCATTGAACTTTCATTAGTGAAACAGTAACCTCTGCTTTAGAGCTAGTAGTAGTTTCAGATTTGAACTATGACTTTTTAGGGAAAATAAAGTATCACAGCTCACACATAATAATATAGGTCTTGACATGAACTTTAAACAACCAGCATATTATGTCCTTGTGCTAATCCCAGTTTTCATGAGCATATTTGAAAATAAGCCTAATTCTCATAGGAAGCGGCCCTATTTTCATGCTCACATAGGTGAAATCTATCAAAGATATTCTTGCAATTTACACACCCATTCAACAAGAACTACAAAATTTCATAAAAAGTACAAAGACTCAATCCTCCAACATTATAGGACAAATGCACTTGCATCATAGGGATGGACAACAATATATTAAAGAGTGCATTTCTTACAATCACCATATGATTCGTTCTTCTCATTGAACTTGGTTACAGGATCTCTAGTCCCTAGGTTAGGTGTCCTCATACATGGTTTATAATTTTATAGGGTTCAATCTCATTTCTCTCGATGTATTATAGGCCTTATCTCTCGCCAAGGCCTTGATTAACGGATCCACAAGATTATCACAAGATTTTACATAATTCA